TTATTTGCTTACTGATTTATTTTATTTATTTGTATTTAATTATTTGCTTGTTATTTACATATTTAATTTATTTAAAAAAATTTATTTTAATTTTAGTTTTTCAATTTTATTGTTATTGTTAATATTACTACTGCTACTACTATTAATGTTATATTTTTCCGCTCACTGCTAAAGGTCATTGTAATAATGAGAATTTGAGTTACAGAACCAAGGGGGTCAAAGTTTGGGTGATTAACTTCAGTTACTCCTACTGGTAGATTATGTAACAACACTATTATGGCGACAAAAAGTGTCTTTCTCAAGTATCTGTGTGATCTGACAAAATTAACATTTTTGGTAGCTATATGTGACCCTGGACCACAAAACCAGTCTTAAAGGGGTCATATGATGTTGCTAAAAAGAACATTATTTTGTGTATTTGGTGTCATGAAATGTGTTTATGTGGTTTAAGGTTCAAAAAACACATTATTTTCCACATAGCTTCTTCTCAGTATTGCATGGCTGATTTAGCTCTGAATATTACCAACGAACACCATGTTTTGCGAAATCTGTGGCACTAACCTGCTGCTGTGTCTCGGCTTTCAATAACAGCTGTCCCTGAATGTCTCCCTGGAGAAAAAACATTTCCAGCTTGAGGAATTAGATCTCTGCATTAGTCCCAGGCCGGTCAGCCCAGCTTTCAGCCTTATTGGATTTTCAGGGTGTTCAGGAAACTCCATTATATAATGGCCCCATTGTGCGAAGCAGATGGAAAAATACAAAAGCACAAGAAACAAAAGGAGGGATAAACTTAATCAACTGATTTTTGACAAGAGCAGTGTAAGGTAACATAAGCGAACCACAGCATGGTGTCACGACTCTGGAGGGGTTCAGTATGTTTTTATTCAGATAAATATGCTAATAAAAACAGTATTTATAGACCATTGCATGCTTTTGAAATAAACATCAAAGCCAAACTGTTGGGAAGCAATGAAACCCATGTATATTCTTAGCATTTTTTATGTTCTTAGCAGTTGATGAATGAATTTGAGAAATTTTACTTTGTGTTAAGATTTTTGAATGCAGATTTTGGTGTCTTTTGTAAAACTGTATGGATTGACAGGTAACATAGTCGACAGCTTTGACACTTTGACTCATAATTTCAATGGCAGGCCTTGTCTGGCCAACCAAATGTTATCTTCTTGATCAGATTAACCTCAAATGTTAATATTAATTTCAATTAAAAGCATAAAAATATTGCAAACCATAACAATACCCAACATAGTTGGCGGGCAATTAATATACTCCTTGACAATAGGTCATTGGAGATCAAATATAGAAATGGTTTTGTGATAAGCCATTTTTTAGTCTTCATTAGTTTTTTTTAAAGAGGTGTTGGTTTAGTAACAAACAGTGTAGGGCAAGTTACTCTGAAAATGTAATCAAATTACTGATTACTGATTACTCCTTTTAAAAGTAATCACGTTACTGTTCTGATTACTTTCAAAAGTAATTAGTAATTAGTTACATTACTAGTTACGTTACTTTTTTCTCCATGAAATTTATGAAATCCCAGCATACACGCTCCCGATAAATATTTGTTATTAAAGCATCAACATTCACAGAACACTGTTATTTTTAACTAAAGCAAGCGGCTGCTGCGTGCATGGTTTGGCATGGCAGAATGCCAGCAAAGAGCACTGCATTTATAATCTCTAAAAGACATCTCAGTTCATCGCAATCTCACAAATCTCCGTTATAACACAATAAATATATGCATAATGAACCTTTCATAATGTCTACAATTTGTGTGTTATAATGAGAGGATTCGTGAGCAAGCAAATTTCAGCACTGCATTGCTCAACGCAGCGAACACGTGTTATAGCTTAAATAGAAACTCTGCATACGCTTGCACCTGTTAATCGTTTATATTTTATATTAGTTCATGTAGCTTTTGTGCAATAGATGAATAACAATTTATTTGTTTTAGATATTTTATGTTTAGATATTTCCATTTTGCGGGAGTCCCGTGAATCATTTTATTCTCCCGCATCCCGCACACACACAAGCATCTACCCGCCCGCACCAGCACTCGCCTATCTTGTCCCGCGCTGCACTCTGTTGCGTCGGGTCTCGCGGGAGAGAGAGCCTCTAATCCACATCTCTAGATTATAAAACACTGCATTCTGTCAGCAATGTAACGCGGCAGTAACGTATAGAGACCTCAGCTTGTAACTATACTCTAATTACTATTTTGAAAATTATAACGCGTTAAATTACTCCGTTACTAAAAAATTTATCAAATTACAGTAACGCGTTACTAAGTAATGCGTTGCTGCCCAACACTGGTAACAAAGTAGTTGACAGAATTTGTGTAGACATAATTAAAATATTAAAATATTTTCTTATTTAAAAGAAAATTAAATTCAAACTCAGTCTATTTTTCTAAGGCATTTAGATTGTAGAAACAAATTTAATATAGATAATCTTGACTTTTTTTATTCATTATTTCGAATTCAAGACAATTAAAAAAAGACACTGCAATTTTAGGGTAATAAAGGCAATTTCATGCAAACTGATAGTCTGTGTTCTCTATCTATATATATATTACAGTATATCCAATCTTTAGTGTCACATGATCCATCAGAAATCATTCTAATGTGCTGATTTGCTGTTCAAGAATTTTTTTTTTTAATTATTATTATTATCAAAGTTGAAAGCAGTTGTGCTACTTAATATTTTTGTGGAAACCATGACACTTTTTTTTCAGGATTCTTTGATGAATAGAAAGTTCAAAAGAAAAGCATTTATTTGAAATAGAAATCTTTTGTAACATTATAAATTTCTTTACTACCACTTCTGATCAATTTAATGCATCCTTGCTGAATAAATTAATTTCTTTAAAAAAAAAATAAAAAAATACTAAACTTAAACTTAAACCTACATTATTACTTAAACTCCAATAATGCTCAGCTCCTAGAAAATAAATTGATAATGCCCATTTATAGACTCAGCTCCTTTATTCTCCAGAATTCATGAATTTGTTCACTGTGAAGTCTCCTGATCGTAAAGACGAATCTGTTTATCGTCCGCGAGTCCTGAAAGAAAGATTGAGCAATCATTGGGTCATTTGGTAAATGGAAGTGAAGAATAGAGCAGTGTGTGTGAATGTTTGTGTTAATGTGTATCTGACAGTAGGGTGGCACTTTCATCTAACAGGCATATAATCTCACTCTGCTCTTCAGCTGCAGGCTGATTGGCCTCTTCATCTCTCTAGTCACAGTTTGTGTCTTTAACTCCTTTCTATTTCTCCTTTTCCTCCTCACCTCCTCTGTCACCCCATCTATTCCCTTTCCAGCATAATAAGCCACCTAAATGTTATTGCATAGCGACTATTTCATTGCCTAGGGGTGTCTTTTTCACATCAATTTGCAGTTTGCACGGTTGTTAATCGTTTACTAATTGTTTTTTTTTTAATAGTTTTTAAGTAATCATGCTAGATGAGCATATTTTTGACCATTACAACATGTCTTCTTGTTGTTTTTTAGCATCTCACACCATAAGCACCGCATTTTAAGATGCTTTTTCTGGTTAGAAATGTCACATGCATGTACATTCTTTTGCATTTGGTCTATTTTTTTTAAATGTAAGAACTATGACTCACTTACGAGTATATAAATTAATGTGGATACTGGATAGTGTATCTCAGATCATTCAGTCTTGGATGAATTTGAGAAATATTTGAGTTCATATTGAGATCTCTGACTTTTGATTGCAGACTTGGGTATCTTGGCAAATCTGAGCACATTTTAAAACCTTGTTGACATCCTAGGAGACATTATTTTAGTTGATTTTAGTTGATCATTAGACACTACTGAGACACTATTATAGTTTTTATAATTTTTATATTTTTAGTTTTAGTACATTAAACTGAATGAAAATTAGAAATGTTGCCTGGGCAACTAGCTGAAATGAAATAAGTTTGTGTAAATAAAATATGTTTTTTAATATATTTTATTTTATTTCAGATAATGTTTATTTAATTTTAAGCAACAAAAATATATTTTTATGGTTTTAGTTTTAGTTAACTTTAATAACCCTGGAGATTATTTTTTTTAAAATAGTTTTTAAGTAATCATGCTAGATGAGCATATTTTTGACCATTACAACATGTCTTCTTGTTGTTTTTTAGCATCTCACACCATAAGCACCGCATTTTAAGATGCTTTTTCTGGTTAGAAATGTCACATGCATGTACATTCTTTTGCATTTGGTCTATTTTTTTTAAATGTAAGAACTATGACTCACTTACGAGTATATAAATTAATGTGGATACTGGATAGTGTATCTCAGATCATTCAGTCTTGGATGAATTTGAGAAATATTTGAGTTCATATTGAGATCTCTGACTTTTGATTGCAGACTTGGGTATCTTGGCAAATCTGAGCACATTTTAAAACCTTGTTGACATCCTAGGAGACATTATTTTAGTTGATCATTAGACACTACTGAGACACTATTATAGTTTTTATAATTTTGATATTTTTAGTTTTAGTACATTAAACTGAATGAAAATTAGAAATGTTGCCTGGGCAACTAGCTGAAATGAAATAAGTTTGTGTAAATAAAATATGTTTTTTAATATATTTTATTTTATTTCAGATAATGTTTATTTAATTTTAAGCAACAAAAATATATTTTTATGGTTTTAGTTTTAGTTAACTTTAATAACCCTGGAGATTATAGTTTTTTTTTTTTTTCTCATGGGACTCAAACAAAAGCCTCCGTTTGCTGTTTGTTTAATCTCATTGCTGTCTAGGAGAAACAATTGAGATATTAAAGAGATGTCAATTGTGATTTGTCCTATGGGAAGAGACCCAGTTTGTCACTATTGATCACACTGCGATCACTGCTAGAGGCTTCAGTCACGCTCAACCCCTCCCACCAACACTCATGAAATCAGGAGTCTGCCTTAATCTGGGCTGCGCTGTATTTCTGAGAGCGAAAGAGAGAGAGAGAGATCGTACTGCAGTACCGTCACACACTCCTGTGCTCAGACCAGAGTGGAGCACGAGGGACAGGAGGAGGAGCAGGAGGAGAAAACAGGGCGATGATGACTGCAGCGTCCCGACCACAGCTCAACTGAAGAGGGGAATCTGTCTCTCCTCTGCTCCGGCTCTGGGATTAAGTTTTTTTTTCCGGTCTTGGCATCATGGAGTCTCCCACCAGAGAGATCGAGGAGTTTGAAAGCACGTCGCTCAAGTACTTACAGCCCGACCAGATCGAGAAAATCTGGCTCCGACTGCGGGGACTGTGAGTATGAGCTTTTCAACAGGTTTTCTTGTGTTTTGTGTGTGTGTGTGTGTGTGTGTGAGAGAGAGAGAGTGTGTGTCCATCTAAGAGGTTGACAAACATCCTGAATCTCATGTAAACACCCAAAATAAGTATGGAAAAAATAAGAAATTATAATCAGAATAAAGCCTAAAGCCTATTTTAGGACTGTTTTTAATGACAATTAAGCTTTTTTTTTTTGTTGATTCTCGTTACTGAAAGTCACTTGGTGCAATAAAATGTTTTGTTTAAATCAACATAAATTAAAGGCAGTACAACAAATATCATGATGGACAAAAAATTATATTCATGATATATTATATTATATTATGTTCTATATTATATTATATTATATTATGTATCTTTACGTTTATATATATATCAGGAGGAGAAAACAGGGCGATGATGACTGCAGCGTCCCGACCACAGCTCAACTGAAGAGGGGAATCTGTCTCTCCTCTGCTCCGGCTCTGGGATTAAGTTTTTTTTTCCGGTCTTGGCATCATGGAGTCTCCCACCAGAGAGATCGAGGAGTTTGAAAGCACGTCGCTCAAGTACTTACAGCCCGACCAGATCGAGAAAATCTGGCTCCGACTGCGGGGACTGTGAGTATGAGCTTTTCAACAGGTTTTCTTGTGTTTTGTGTGTGTGTGTGTGTGTGTGTGAGAGAGAGAGAGTGTGTGTCCATCTAAGAGGTTGACAAACATCCTGAATCTCATGTAAACATGTCAAATTCACTTTTCACCCAAAAATAAAAAGTTATAATAAAATTATAATCAGAATAAACCATAAACCCTGTTTTAGGACTATTTTTGCATAGTGACCATAATTTTCTTTTATGAAAATTAAGCTTTTTTTGTTCATTCTCCTTACCGAAAATCACTTGCTGCAATACAATTTTTTTTTAAATCAACATAAATTAAAGGCAGTACAACAAATATCATGATGGACAAATAATAATATTCATGATATTCTATATTATATTATATTATATTATATTATATTATATTTAAATTGTATTATTATATTGTGTCATTCCATATGTCAGATTCATAATAAACAATGAAAATAATGATTATTAATAAAATAATAAAAATTTTAAAAAGCATTTTTGGACACCTACTGGATTTGGATGGACAAATACTGTAAAAATATATAAAAAATAATAAAATAAAAAATATGTATAATTTTAAAATGTATTACTTTTTGGGTTGTAGTAATGAGAATTTTATTGTATTATTATTTTTTTTTCAATTGTCATAAAAATGTCCCTATGCAAAAAGTCTTGATGTTTTTTATTTTAATTTTTTCTTTCTATGTGTGTGTGTGTGTGTGTGTGAAATATGACTTTAAACTGTTCTCGATGGATGCACCTAAGAAGATGCTTTTTTTTTTTAAAAAGAAAAAAATAAAATAGTTTTAAATTCGAAAAACAAATATTCACAAATATTATTCAATAAATTACAGTAACTGTTCCATGGAAAGGTGTTTTTTTTTATTGTGATTTTATTCACACTTCAGTGAGGTCAATTCACAGAGACCTGGTGACTTTTTATTAATATGTTTCAACTTCTCAAATATATATTAAACAGCTCCATCATCTGTAGACAAACTCATTTCTTCGATGTCAATCAGTTTTTGTCTCTGGCTGTTATTGGGCGGCTGGAGAAAAAGTCTCTATATTGTCCCAGAACTCAGTGAATGAAATGCAATTTCCTCACTACGGGTGAAGAAGAAAAGACGAGCGAGAGAAGGAGAAAGAAAAAGCGAATGAAAGCAAGAAAGAGATGAAAGGGGAGGGCTGGTTTGTGACCTCTCATATTTTCTCCCTTCACGCAGTAGAATAGTAACTTTCCTCTGTTAACGATGAGTTTGATAAGTTTTTGTGTGTGTTTTGAGTCTGTTAAAGTCCACATGAAATCAAATTGACCCTATTTAGTTTTTAAATACATAGTTCTGGTCTTATTGTAAGTGATTCATTAGTGCACGACACGTTAATCCAAAAAGGAAAATGTCTGTCTTCATAATCTTTTATCCAAACATAATAACTTGCTCCTCCTCTAAAATGACTTTCCTTTGTTGTCTGACGTCAACAAGAGCTCTTGGTAACACTTTAGTGATATGGACCAATTCTCATTATTAACTAGTTGTTTATTAGCATGCATATTACTAGCATATTGGCTATTTATTAGTACTTATAAAGCACATATTCTGCATGACCATATTCTACATTCCTAATACCTAAACTTAACAACTACCTTACTAAGCAGTAATTAGGAGTTTAAGGTTTAAAGTCGTAGTTAATAGTTAATTAATAGCGAGAATTGGACCTTAAAATAAAGTGTGACCGAACTCTTTTATTTCAACTCCTTCGCCTCCTTCTACTTGCCATATAGAGGCACTTTGCATAATCCTATCAATTGATTATGGATAAAATTAAGTCTCTCCCATCTTATTTTTCTCGTTAAATATAATATTTCTCTTAAACATACAACAGAGTCATATTACAGAAGTAAAATTGATTTTGTTAATTTGGACTTTAACTTCAATAATTTAGTAATGAAAAAAAATTTGTTTTATGTATTATATTTACTATCGTGAACATTATTATTTTTATTTATGATCATAGTATAAAATAATAATTAATGTAAACAGTAAAATAATGAAAATTAAAAAGCATTTTTGAGACATACTGATTTGGATGGACAAATACTATTAAAAAATTGTAATAAAATAATTAAAAGTAAAAAAAATAAAATAAAAAAAACAAAACAAAACAAAACTTTTTCACATTATAGTATGACGATTTTTTTTGTGGTAATTTCTTAATTGTAATGAAAATCTCACCATGCACCATTTCAATCAATTCCTTATGAATAAATGTATTTTCCTCTTAAATGTACATCAGAGGTTAGAGTCAGAATAGTTCACTAAAAATTGCCTTCTGTGGAACATAAAAGGAGAATATTGAGAATTTTGCAGAATATCCAAGCTGTACAAATACTATTAAAAAATTGTAATAAAATAATTAAAAGTAAAAAAAACAAAAAAAAACAAAAAAAAACAACAACTTTTTCACATTATAGTATGACGATTTTTTTTGTGGTAATTTCTTAATTGTAATGAAAATCTCACCATGCACCATTTCAATCAATTCCTTATGAATAAATGTATTTTCCTCTTAAATGTACATCAGAGGTTAGAGTCAGAATAGTTCACTAAAAATTGCCTTCTGTGGAACATAAAAGGAGAATATTGAGAATTTTGCAGAATATCCAAGCTGTTTGTTTCTTTATAAAGATAGTAGAAAGTAACCAGGGCCTGTCAAGTTCCAAAAACACCAAAAAGCACCAGTGGTGCCATTGACGTCACTGACATCACAAAGTGAAGTTTGAATATGCGCATGCACACATTTATTGTGTTCCACAAAAGTAATGACAGATCATTATATTTGTGGGTGAACTATTCCTTTAAGAACTTTGTTGTTCTCTCTAATAGAGAGCCAAAAACAAGTGCACGTTTTGCCAATATTGTGTTAGTCCCTTCACTGGGTTTGGATTATTTCCCGTCACAGGACGTCAGGCGGGTTCACAGGATGGTAAGCTGTTTTGCTGTGTTTTGGGCATGTAGAAGCAGCTGTATATGTGGATGTTAAAGGGGTCATATGATGTGATTCAAAATTTTCCTTTCTCTTTGGAGTGTTACAAGCTCTTGGTGCATAAAGAAGATCTGTAAAGTTGCAAAGACTAAAGTCTCAAATCCAAAGAGATATTCTTTATAAAAGTTAAGAATCAACCACACCTACCTAAAACGGCTCGTTCTAACACGCCCCCACATATCTACATCACTATGTGGCCATTCTCAACTCAACTCACCTCCGCTCACTCTAGGCCAGAGGCCGCCGCTCACTCTAGCCCGCCGTGTGTGACGGCGTGTTTCTTTGTGAAAGCGAAACTACTTTGTTTGGCCTTCCAAAAGAGGACACGACTAGAAATCAGTGGTTAAGAGCTGATCTGTGCTGGTCGCAAAGGGAAATCTTAAACATACTGCCGAAATGCAGACATGGTTTATGTTTACGCGGCGCGATGCAACGCAAATAATTATGTCCCCATAATTATGTCCCCACTGGATGCAACAAATGCCTCGTTTATAATGGGTTTTAATGTTTTCGTCTCGTCGCTCCGGCCGGGACACGGCATCACAGTATGGTGAGGGGCGTAACATTTCCGTCACACGCTTGAGGTATTCGGCCAATCACAACGCATTGGATAGCTGGCCAATCAGAGCACACCTCGCTTTTCAGACCGATGAGCTTTGTAAAAATCGACGCATTTCAGAAAGGCGGGGCATAGAGGAGAAACAATAATGTACAGTATGTGGAAAATAATGTGTTTTTTGAACCTTAAACCGCATAAACAAATTTCATTACACCAAATACACAAAATAATGTTCTTTTTAGCAACATCATATGACCCCTTTAAAGGGTACTGCAGTGGGTAAATGTGACTGCATCAGCGTTTAATCTCACAGAAAGCCTCAAACACGCACAGCGGTCGTGAGTGTGTGCGCATTTGTGGACATGGTTTTGCACGTGCCCTTGTGCGCATACAACATCTTAGTGGTGTGAAGCAGCACTCATTATTGTGTTTGGGGACTTTAGAAAGAAAAGGGAGACAGTAAGAAAGAGTTTCCTTTTCTAAGGAGTAATTTCAGGCACCAGTGTAGGCTCATGGCAGGAATGAGTAATGAGTGGGCAGCTGTGAATTTTCCTGTGCGTTGACTAATTGCTTCACCGTCCTTGTGTTGTTAATGGGCAAAATTCATTTAGATTCATGTCCCAAAAACTGAAAAAAAAAGAAAAAAGATTTGACTGTATATCAATCAAGTAAACAGTAAGAGATTATTTTTATTATTTTATTTTATTTTCAGAAAGGGTGTGTGTTTGCATGTGTGTAAAGAACTTGAAGTAATTATTTTTTATTTCTATTTATTTCATTTCATTTTATTATTTTATTTTATTTTATTTTCAGAAAAGGCATGAGTTTGCATGTGTTATATGTGGAGAACTTTAAGTAATTTTTCAAAAGTGGAAGCAAAAATGTTTTGCAACTTGCAGGGCCATAAAAACAACCTGAAAAATGAATGACAAAATAATATAACTTACAAAATATGTAATAATAATAATAATAATAATAATACAGTTTGTTTATGAATATTAATTAATATTAATATTTATGTTACAGTTAAAATAAATACATTTGACCATGAAACAGCAGGGTTTAAATAGACTCTCTCTGTGTGTTTGTGTGTGTGTGTTATTATTATTTATGAAATAAATCCAATATAATTGTGCACAGAAGCCAAATACAAGTTTTTAACATGGTGTTCGTTTTGTTACAGGAGGAAGTACAAGAAAACATCTCAGAGGTAAGGCAGAGAAGATCTGAGGTGTGCTGAACTCATTACCATCCACTGTGAAAACCTCTTTCAGCAATAAATATGATTTCTCTAATATTTGTGTTTCATGTATGTATTAGCCAGATTCAGTAACATTCACTGGAAAAATCCAGCTAAAACCACCTGTCTGGAGTAAGCTTGTGGTGGAGTAGAGTTACTTACTGTTTTTTGGAACATAGTAGATGGTTTGCTGCTGGTCCAAAGTGTCTACCAGTACTAACCAGCATAAACAAGATCATTTAAGTCAAGTTAGTAGACCGGCAGTTCACATAGACTAGCTTGGACCAGCTAGAAACCAGTTCCACGAATGCGCACACACTCACGACAGCTGTGCGTGTTTGAGGCTTTCTGTGAGATTAAACGCTGATGCGGTCACATTTACCCACTGCAGTACCATTTAAAGGGGTCATATGATGCTGCTAAAAAGAACATTATTTTGTGTATTTGGTGTAATGAAATGTTTTATTTAAGGTTCAAAAAACACATTATTTTCCACATAATGTACATTATTGTTTCTCCTCTATGCCCCGCCTTTCTGAAGCGCGTCGATTTTTACAAAGCTCATCAGTCTGAAAAGTGAGGTGTGCTCTGATTGGCCAGCTATCCACTGCGTTGTGATTGGCCGAATACCTCAACCAGTGGCATTTATATCTCATAATTCTGCATTTATATCACAAATTTGAGTTCATATTCCACAATTCTGCATTTATATCTCATAATTCTGCATTTATATCTCACAATTCTGCATTTATATCTCATAATTCTGCATTTATATCTCACAATTCTGCATTTATATCTAACAATTCTGCATTTATATCTCACAATTCTGCATTTATATCACAAATCTGAGTTCATATTCCACAATTCTGCATTTATATCTCACAATTCTGCATTTATATCTCACAAAAACCAGCAAAATTATGAAGTTTTTGTTTTCTGTTGTTTGAATATGAACTCAGATTTGTGATATAAATGCAGAATTGTGAGATATAAATGCAGAATTGTGAGATATAAATGCAGAATTATGATATATAAATGCAGAATTGTGAGATATAAATGCAGAATTGTGAGATATAAATGCAGAATTATGAGATGTAAATGCAGAATTGTGAGATATAACTGCAGAATTGTGGGATATGAACTCAGATTTGTGAGATAAGTGCAGAATTGCAAGATATAAATGCAGAATTGTGAGATATAAACTAAAATTTGTGATATAAATAGAATTGTGAGATATAAACTCATATTTGCAAGATATAAATTCAGAATTGCAAGATATAAATGCAGAATTGTGAGATATATACTCAGAATAAAGGCAATAATTATGAGATAAAAAGTCGCAATCAGAATTGCAAGATGAAACTTGGAATTGTGAGAAAGTAAGTCTGAATTCTGAGTTTATCTCATGCAATCCTGACTTTTTTTCTGGTTGAATTGTGCGATACAAACTAGAACTAGATAGAACTAAACTAGACAGAAAAAAGTCACAATTACAGAAACAAGCTTCCATCATAACAACTGCCTTGACATGATTATAGAGTAAGCCTGTGATTGAATAGAGTTCCCTTTCAGTTGGTCACTCTCGACGTCACGTCGGATGACCGACGAAATTGGGATCTCGCTTAGAGAGACCAATCTACTTCGAGTGTAAACTAAACGAGCCAATGCACATTGGCATGCGATTATTGCATCCAGCTGCCGCTGATCACAGCGTGAGTATAAGTAGGCAGCAGATGCAGCGCATATTCAGCTTTTCGCTTCGGAGCCGAGCGATCACATCGTTCTCCTCCTGACTACTCTACTGAGAGAAAAAGACTGAACGGGAACGAGGGTTACCATACGTAACCGAGACGTTACCTTGTGCATTTATCAGAATTACATGGCAACACAAACCACAGAAAACGTGGCGACAGCACGCAGCGTTTGTATGCAGTATGTGGCGCTCTGCATTGCCGAAAACATCTGTTGAAACACATGCACTTCGGCCTGCGCTGAGCACTCTGCAATTATGAGTGAGAAGAGGTGGGGAGACAATAACAGAGAAAGAAAGATGTCAGGAGAGCTGATGCTGAAACGTAACGTAAAAGAGAGCGAATGAGAGAAACACACACAGAGAAAGAGAGAGATGGTTAAGTCGGGTCTAATATTAGAGCGAGAGTGGGTTTAAATGGGGAGGGCTCAGCCGAGACTTTCCTCCGCTAACAGAGGGAGGGATGACTTCCTGTGCAGCTCCTCTCTGATTGACAGCTCAATGGGAGTCTGGGTAATTATGGCAGGCTAATTGGCTGCAGAGCATTCTGGGACTCTGTCATTACAGACACAACAGGACAGTTACAAACATGTGTGTGAGAGCATTCACACAGACACACATACTGTATAGTACATGAAGAAAGACTTGAGGATCTTTCCTTAATTTTCATATTAAATGAACTGAGCCGTTATTATCAATCAACCCTCTACACACACCTTGGCAATATAATCGCCATTGGCTAGTAAATGTTTTTGTTTACTCGCCAGACTGATATACTATTTTACCCGCCAACCAACGAGATCTGTTCGCGCATTAGCTCCGCCCACTGCCGAGAAACTATGGGCTTACATTTCTGCCACAATTCTGCGCGCGAAAGATCATATTTTGAGCGCA